GCAGGGACAATATGGGCAAGTTCTGGCCAGTCATTTCAGCCCAGTTTCCTCTTCCCTTGAAAATGCAGCTCTCAAACACCAGCTCCCGCACCCGGGTGTAGGAGAAGAACCTCAGGACTTGGGCAAGGAGTATCTCAGGCACCAAGAGATCACCAAAAATTATTTTCCTGATGACAAGGGAGTCCAGCATTTCAATGGTGGAGGAGTCCAGGCCACTGATGGGAAAGGCTGCGTATCTCTCCAGCTCTCCCCCCCGAAACTCCACGACAGAGGCTGGGAGACACTGGATGATGCTGCCTAGGCTTTCCTGGGACAGGTTGTAGCACACACAGTGCTCCTGAGTGCGATTGAAGAAACACCTGCCTTCTACCTCCGATAGCCCCAGCCCCAGGAGGAGGAGAACAGCCACATTCATGGTGAACAGCCTAGAAATGAGGAGAGCAATGGTGACAGGCAGCACTCTTGTGGCAGTGGCAGCTGAGGGGACCATTCAGATCCAGCCAACAGGAGGGCTGACTTGAGCAGGTTCAGCCCCAGAGAGCCACCCCTCAGGGACACAGCGCTGCCCTCACCACTCCTGCCCAGCTGCCCTTTGCGTGGGTCCAGTGCACCCCACCAGCACCCACCTGGCTACTCAGCCACGACTCAGGGCAAAGCTCCCAGCCCGTTTCACCCGTGAAACACCCAAAAGCTACACCTCTTCCACCCACTCCTTGGCAGGGAGTCGGTGGCCCTGGTCTTACCAAACCCCAAAAGCAGGGTTTCAGCAAGGCAGGGTGGCTCCTCCCAAGGCAGCAGACGCCACGGTCTGCGCTTTCTGCCTGGGCTGCCTTCCTGCAGAGACTCCCATGCCAAAGTGACCAGGAAATTCCACGGATCAGGAGGAACTAGAAATGCTCAGTTACAGACAGTGAAGCCAGTCTGAGCACAGGACAGTAGAGCCACAGATCTGTTTGTTTCTCTGCATGGCGTGCTGTAATCTGGGGCAGGAAATTGCAACAGAGGGTTTCATATTTTCCTTGTTCTCACCCAGCAATTTGATTCATTACCAGCTTCCAAGGGGTCAGCAGAAAATAATTCCTGAGGGTCTGTACGCATCCGTGTCAGCACCAAGTATTGCTTTGCTGTCCAGCTGACGGGAGAGTCTTATAAACAGATTGCAAAAAAGCAGCAAGCAAAGATTAAAGGCTCCTAAGAATGTGCTGACTCAGCTCTGTCTGAGCACCCAGCCGGGGCAGTGGCAAGGAGTCTTTGGGGGTCTCCAGTTCAACCTCCTGCTTCGAGCGGGTCTGTTGACAGCTCTAGCCCCAATCAGCCACAGCTTTTTCTGGCCGTGTCTCAAAAACCTCTGAGGACGGACCTTCCCCTACCTCTCTGTGCCGTCACAGGGCTGCACCTCCCTCCCGGGGAGAAGCTCTCCTCCAGCACTGGTGTGAAGCTCCCCTCGCCCTCACCAGGGGTGGCAACACAAAGCGGGGGTGGGTTTGTCCAGTGACTCACCAGCCAGTTCAGGACTGAAATATTTCCTTGCCCCACGGCTGCTTCTCTAGCTGCTGTCAAATCCAGGGCTTAGGTGCCAAAGGCTCTGCAAGTGCTAAGCTCTCTCCTGCGCCTGATCTGCCCTGCCTCTAGCCGGATGAGACCTCAGCGCCTGCAGGTGTTTTCCAGCTGCCGTTGGTGCTTCCGCAGCCCGTCCTGCCTGCGTTTAGATCCACGCCGTCAGGGCTGGCGGGCACCTGGGGCAGGCTCCTGGGCGCTGCCCTTGCTCCCGCTGCGTGACTTCCTGAGCTGCACAGGGCTGGCTGTGCCACGGGAAGCAACGCGCCACGCAGCAACCACCCCAGTGACTTCTGCTTCGCTTCCCTGCAGCAAGGGGCTCTTGAAGCTGCAGGCTAGGAAGGGTTTCGGTCTAAGTGCCAATGCTGCTCACTTTCCTAGGAAGGATCAGGGAAGAGAGTGTGGTAAAGGTGCCCTAAATGCACTCTGGGGACCAGTCCAAATACACCTTTTCTTCCAGATGCTCTGGGCTTGCTGTGCCTCGGAGCCCACTGGGTGCTGAGCACCCTGCCAGAGGCAATGCAGAAGGGTACGAGACTGTCATACCCAGTATCCAGACCATCGCCAGCTGCCTGTGTCTCACATAGGATGGGGACGGGACAAATTCCCATCCACTGTGCACAGAGCCCAACACTGTGAAGGGTACTTCTTCACTCAAGATTGGCTTCCTTGGCAACCTGGCTACTTAGCTTGGCCAAGGAACTCTCATCGCTTCCCCCATGCTCCTTAGGCAGCTGGTGGCTGTGCCTATGCCAAAATGTTAATGGTCCCATCGGTGAGCAGAGAGCACCAGGCATTTGGAAAGACACATCAGAGATTTTTTCTTACCCAAGGGACTTCTCTGCCTATGTTGGATTTCAGAAAGGCAACAAAACTGCATGGCTAGAAGATGCAATTCCCAGTTTGTTGTTAATGCAGCATTGCAGAAAGACACTATCAATGCAAGATCTGGGGCAGAAGCTGCCTGTCCCATGTGCTCTGGCACTCTGCTGCTGGGGTGGATGAAGGGAAGGTCTCCTTTTGGTCGTTACATCTACTGCAGCTTGTTTTCTTGTTCTTGGCGTTTCAGGCAGAGTGCTGCACTGCTTTTTCTGCCTTTGCTTAAGCAATTCCTTGTGCAGAGGAGTTTAGCAATTCTATGATTCCTCTTCTCCATTCTCGGGTTACATGAAACCACTCCTGTGTGCATAGTGGAAAAATCATAGCTGCCTTTCTGAGTTCTCCTCACTGCTCACTTGGGTGAAGTTGGCAGCTCTAACTGTCTGGGCCTGGTACCTTTTAATTGCTCATTCCTGGCCACCAGCTGCAAATTCCCCCAAATGGCTTTCTGGGGAAAAATGAGCTCTTCTGTTTCTGCTTCCTCAGTGGCCCCTTGTCGTGGTTTAACCCCAGCCGGCAACTAAGCACCACACAGCCACTCGCTCACTCC